GTTCAAGAAGATGGTTTGACAGCCTAACAATGACAGAAGCAGAAAAACCAAAGAAAGCAGGCACAAAACTCAATAATTGTAGTGATCTCAGGCGTGTGAGCATAGTTAGAAATAACTGATATGTATCAATAATCTCCAAGAACAGCATTCCTTAGCTATAAGACATAATATATACCATTCATTATTATAGCGCTGAGTTGCCAGAAAAGTGTTATATTACATTCAAGCAGTCAACTTACAAAGACATGGAAAGATTCTCACCCAAGTTATTATTACTGTTGTTATTAGTGGTTTCTGTGCTTTAAAGGCTTAAGTTCAGTTAATGAATTAATGGGAAGATTAACTGTGTTGCCTGCCATATTCACCATTCTTCGCTCACATTTTTATGGGGCATCTACTCTAATCTAGGTATTGAACAAGGAACTGGATCCATAGTGGTGGACAAATTAAGAACCATTGCTATCCTGATGGAGGTTGCCGGATTTTACAGGAGACAGGAAGTTATCAAAGAGGCAAAAAAAAAAAAAAAAAAAAAAAAAGAGGAAATAGTGTAACTCAACTTGTATAAAAGGCTACAAAAGAAAAGAATGTGGAGTGTGATAGAGAACCCAAGTGTGGGGGTAAGGAGGTAGAGAATATGATACCTTAATCATCAGGGAGGACCAGAGAACCCCTAAAAAGGTATGGAACCACGGTGAGAGAACAGGGAACAAGAGAGGTTCAATAGCAGAAATAGTAGGGAGAGGATTTGAGATAGGAGGTTGACAGTGTAGAGGAGCTGCAAGGAGGACGGTGTGACTGGAGGTCATACAGAGGGTCTGAGGGAGCCTGGAATAACATGGAATTGAAGAATAAGGAGCCAGATCATGGAGGTCTTTGCAAACCACTGGAGTTTGGATTTTATTCGAAGTGTCATGGGAAACCTTTGAAGGATTTCAAGCATAGCCATTGGGTAACCAGCTCTAAGTATCTTTAAATGCTTTAGTTATTTTTGTTTCTCTTTGCTTTTGCTTATATTGGTAGAAATGATGAAGAGATACTTCTGAAAATATGTGGCTCAGAAAGGAATCCAAATTTCAAGGGCCCTAAATCTTAAACAAATTTAATTTGGGAGGCCCTCTTTAGAGAAAAGAACTCAAAATTACAAATATAAAATTAGGAACAGAGATGTTCTTGAAGGGCCTCATGCAAATGAGGGACCCCAGAGCTTAAACTTCATTGTGTCTCATTATGGCCACTCACTGCCAATATTGTGGAAAGAATTTTATAGATACTCCTGGCTTTAGGTGGGAACCAAATTTGATTTTCAAGTTTGATTGCTTGGAGCATGTCTCCATTATTCCTTGGAAACCCTGTCCTTTTTACTTCTTTTTTCCCCCCTTCATGGTTTCCCTCCGCCCAATGCCCCCTAACTCAAACAGCTCAAGTTAAAAACTCATTTTTGTGATTGTCTTACAATAGACTTAAGGTTTTTCTGTTGGACTGTTTTCATCCTTCTAGTATCTGTCCTTTGTAGCAATGTATTTCTGAGGGTTAGCATGAGTGTATCTGAAATGATATGGGATAGGGAAATGGGATGGAAAACAGTTGATATGATTTATGTATATTAGTCAGAGTTTTGAAGATTCCATTTTCTGAGCAAAAAAATAATACTGGAAATATTCCAGGAGGCTGTTATAGTGATGTTCCAAAGTTTCACTTTTTAAGATCAAAGACCTTGGGAAGTTCAAGGTGCTTTATTGGGTCAGAGCCCCTGCCTCTGTTTGTCTGACATTCCTATCTCCTTTGAAATCTTACTGAACACTCTTAGAATCTCTTACCCTGTTTGTCAAGCTGTTTTTCTATAAGAAACAGTGTCTATTCTATGAAATGTTCTAAAGAAATAGTACTCTGTGCTTTTATAAAAGAGAGGGAAAGATGAGCTGGCTAATTTATTCCATTCCTAATGCTTTGTAACAAAAGTTGAAATGAATGAAAATGATTGAGTTTGTAGGCCTGGTCTGCAGATACAAAAAACTGCTGGAAACCATTGAGTGTGGACTGGCTTTAATTTACTGCATGGATCTCAGCCCATGATATGCTGCTTTTTGTTAACTTTCATAATAGAGAAAGAAGTACAGAGAGCAAAAGCTTTCAGAAGGGCTGTAGTTGAAAAGAAGCAGCACATGAAGGTCTGAGACTGTTACTTATATTAAATGGGGTATTGTTCTGGTAGTGGGACAGATGATGGGGACAGGTCTATGGGAGGGGTGGAGAGTGAGGCTGACAGTCTCCTCAATGGGAACTGGGACAGATTACATCCTGGCTTTCTCCATTGGCAGGGAGGCCTGGAAATGTGTGGGGCAACCTAATCTAGGACTTGCGTGATGGATAAGGAGGTCGTGAGAATACAGTTTCACTCTCTACACCGAGAATACTTGTCCCTGTGTTTTCTGAATATGACTTAAGTAGCAATGTGTTTGATGTTGCCTGGACTAAAGAATGGTAAGTGTGGTTCCTTTTATCTTTCTAGTCCAATACCAGTGGTTCATTAAGGTGGATGTGATGGGGTCCTGTGTTGACACCACACAGGTACAGGCGGAGAACATCCTTCAGTCTACCTATTCTATGCTGCTCAGTTTTCATTTTGATTTAACTACACAGCATTGTGCTGCTGAGAACTATAACCCCAGGCTCCCACAAAGTACTTGAGTTGGGCATCTTGGATGATTTATAGCAACATTTAGTCATGAGGTCTTTGGTTTCCATGTCTTGTAAATACAAAGAAGAAAGCAATCCCTGCCCCCATCCCATAGAGAAGACAGGATGGTTATTCATGTCTTATTATCACATCCTTAATCTTTTCCTTCTTCTTCTTCTTTTTCTTCTCCCCCCCTTTATTTATTTATTTATTTATTTTTTGTGGGTTGTATTGAAACCATCTGGGCTGCTTTGAAGTCAGTTTATTTTACTAAATTAAATTTTTTCAGATTGTTCCTTTTTTCTTTACGTGATGCCATACCGCATTTGATTAATTCTGGCACAAGTACACCTGTGTTTATGAATCTGACAGTTTAGTCTGTAGATGAAGGAAGCTGGAGTCAGAAATTCGTGCCAAATTAAATCTATTGGTAGACTCCAGGTTTTTTTTTCTTGATATTATTTTAGATTAAATGTTTCCCTATGTGGTTAAATATCTTTGGCTTTAAGTATCAGTTTACTTAAAGAGACGTTATAGTATAGAGATTAAAGACATAGGACTTATAGTTGGAGAGAACCCAGTTCAACTTGCCATGTGACCTCAGGAAAGTCAGTTTACCTTTCTGGGTCCTAGTAGCCTCATGTGTAAATGATGATGCCTCATGATGATTGTGACAGCCAGCCTCCAAGATGACTCCAGTGATCCCTGCCTCCTAGTGTTGGTGCTGCATGCTGTCCCTTCCCATGTTGAATAAGGTTGACTTGTTCAACAAACGAGATATTGTGGAAATGATGGTGTGTGACTTCTGAGGCTAGGTAATCAGACATTGTGGCTTCTGCCTTACGCTTTCTCTTGAATTGGTTAGTCTGGGGAAAGCTAGCAGCCATGTTGTAAGGATATTCAGGCAGTCCTAGGCACAGCCCATATGGCAGGAACCGAGATTTCCTGCCAACAGTGAGTACTATGAAGTGAGTCATCTTGGAAGCACATACTCTAGTCTTGGTGAAGCCTTCAGATATCTGCAAACTTGGCCAGTGTCTTTACTATGACCTCAGGAGAGAGTGTCAGCTACATACATCCAGTCAAGTCATTCCCCAATTTCTGATGTACAGGGACTGAGAGAGATAATGAATGTTAATTGTTTTGAGCTACTGAATTTGGGATAATTTGCTCCATAGCAATAGATGCATGGTATGATTATAATGTCAGTATCCCCTTGTAGGATTGTTGAGAGGATTACATGTGACATTGTAAGGGCTTTGCACAGAGTCAGGCACATAGTGTCATTCAGAAAGATAATAGTGTTCGTTATGGACAGAACTTGACTAGAGGACCAGTTCTCTCTAGCCCCTGTATTCCAAATGCTTTATGTGGGCTCTGCCTGTAGATGATAAATCATTCCAGATTTATAGCCAGCTCTTGAGTGAATGGTAAATTGGGTGACATAGCTGATCCTTCTTCTGTCCTGCCTCACATGTTCTTATCTCACTTTTTAATTTCCGTCTTGTGTTAGTCAGCTATGGGGAACTATTAGCCCCTGCTTCAGCTGCACAGATGCCTCTTGCTTAATCCTGGAGCCACCTTATTACACATGAGTGTGTATGATTTTAACTGTTTAGATGCATGTGAGTATCTGGACCTATTGGAAATGGGAGGTCAACACTCCCTCTTTCCACCCTTTGGCTAAATGATGCCATGGCACCCTCATTATGGCTTCTTGAAGTCGTCCTTGTGGAATGGAGATCTGCTGCCCACAAGGGAGGTCAGCTCAGTAGTGCACCTTTGGATTGGCTTTCACTCCTTCATGTCACTCCCCTGAGTCCCCTCCTCTGTTCCTTGGTCTCACTGCTTAAAATCAACTCTCTGCCTGCCAGGCTGTATATCTCTGGTTCTGCCCCTTGGAGGTTTCCTTAGGCTGTAACAGATGGCTCTTGTAAGAGTTGGCTGAGTGTTATTTGCTTTATATGTGTTCATGAAACCATGACCATGATACCTGCTTTACCCCTTTCAGTGGTTTTCTACTGTTCTCAGGAATAAGTCTCAAACATCTCACCCAATGGCAGGGACCTCCACAAACTGAATCCTAACCATACCTTCAGTATCCACTCCCCCCTTCTCCGTCCTCTCTCATCACTTCTCTATGTGGGCCTTATTGGGCTTTGTTCAGTTCCTTTTATGTGACAATCTTTCTCTTGCCTCTGAACCAAGAGCATGCTGTTTCTTCTTACTGCTTCTTATTGTCACTCATTGTTCAGGCCTCAGCCTTAATGTGGTATCCCCAGGAAGGCCTTGAAGATGTCATATCATTTTATTTTCTTTTTAAAACATGGAATTCTTTGTGAACTTGCACGTCATCCTTGCATAGAGGCTATGCTAATCTTCTCTGTATTATTCCGATTTTAGTATACGTTCTGCCAAAGCAAGCATTTGAAGATGTCATTTTAAATATCCCCATATCAATCTGGATTTCTTTCTTAACACCTATTGTACTTATAAATATTTTCTTAATGTTCACATTTCCTTCTTGAACATCAACTTTCTGAGGCCAGGGGCTAGGCCTATCCAGTTCTCTATTGCTCAATGTTTGGCTTAAAGAACATTTCAATAAATGTCTATTCAGTGGAAGAAAGAATTTAGGCAAAATTCACTTGCCTGATAAATATTGTGTGTGGTTTTTTTTTTTTTTTTATGCCTTAATCTCTCCCTTTAAAATGAATCCAGGGACACCTGGGTGGCTCAGTCGGTTAAGCCGCTGCCTTCGGCTCAGGTCATGATCCCAGGGTCCTGGGATCAAGTCCCACATCAGGCTCCTTGCTCGGTGGGGAGCCTGCTTCTCTCTCTGCTTCTGCCTGCCACTCTGCCTGCTTGTGCGTGCTCTTTCTCTCTGACAAATAAATAAATAAATAAATAAATAAAATCTTAAAAAAAAAATAACCTGAATCCTATCCAAAAGGGCCTCCTCAAGATGGTGAAACAAAATACCACTTAAATAGCAAAAATGACCAATTTTTTGGTAATAAAATGATTTACTTTTACAAATTTACCTCTCTTTCTTTTTTGTCATTACAAAAGGCATAGGCTTTACATAGGCATAGGCTGACATCATCTGACAGAAAAGCTCCCCTAGTACTTTTTTTTAGGTGGGGAGGGCAGAGGGAGAGGGAGAGAGAGAATTTAAGCAGGCTCCACATGCAGCATGGAGCCTAATGCGGGGCTTGAACTCACAACTCTGAGATCATACTTGAGCTGAAATCAAGAGTCAGACACTGAACTGGCTGAGCCACTCAGATGTACCTCCCCCAGTACTTTAGATTATAATTCAGTTTATAAAATTTGATTGACAGACAACTTTTAGTGATCATCTTTATTGGATAGAGGCTACCTCTGCATAAATAAAACCTGTAGTTTTAATTTATGTAATCTAAGCTCTATTTAAATAGAGCTGGCTTTTTGCTTCTGATGTATGTAGGAAGAGTGTTCAGTTGATGGGTCAGCACGAAACTAGAGATGCCCACCCAGGGAAATCTAGCCTTTTCAGAAACAGCGATACCACTCGGGTGGCAGAGGGTTGCATCAGGATTGTACTTGTATACCTAAGGATAGAGAGCCTTATGAATGTGATCGTGCTTGAAAATATATTAGCGTAAAGTCTAGGGCCATCTCATATTAGCGGTATCAGATGGTCTAAATTTATAAAAAAATACTAAAAGTCTGGTATCCTATCAGAATTGAATTATGGTACAGGTTAAGAAACCTGAATAATGCTGTGCTTAAGACAAGTTTCATTGATGTATATGTTTATAAAATGGAACTCAACTCTGTGGTAGATCAATAATGCACAAAGATAGCTCCTTTGGTATTTTGTAGAGGGCTGTGTACTAAATTTATTATGTCCGTGGCAGTGATACAGATCACATACTTTATGTGGCAGGAAACCATTCATTCAATTAACAGATATTTATTGTGTGCTTACTGTGTTCCAGGCACTTCTCCGGGCATATGAGATACCGTAAGAGCAAAATATATCTTAGCAGTTTCCCTTCAAGAACAGATTTTGCCATGACAAAGGGCTTTGCAAAACCACATGGAGAGGAAATGGTTGACATCATTGGGAATTAGTGTTGGTCAGGCTACAGGAAATTGTCAGCAGATTTCCCACGGTATTTTTTGAAGAATGAGGATCTTCTAGAGCGGAAGCAGTGTCATGCATTTCATCTAGGTCCAGCTGTTACAGCAGTTTATTTGAAGACTCGAAACATTCTTTTTCTCTAAGGAAATTGAGATATTGAACTAAGTTAATTGAATTCAGGTCTTTCTGAGCCACTGGGTTTCTTCCTGGTGGAGCTGATCCCTCTTTCCTCTCCCGAGGATCGGGGGAGACTTAGCCAGACAGTGAGTTGTTGCTGAAAACCTGAGAGTAATTGATCATGGACAGAGAAGATGAAGGCTATAGGGAGTCACAGAAATTGAGGACAACTCATGTTGTAATTTAGATTTGAGTAGGTAAGGGACATTAGAAGGTAATTCCTAGGATGAAATGAAAAGGATCTTGAATGTCCAGTCTGGATCAGTGGTTCGAAAGCTTGGCTGGGCATCTGAATCACCTCTGGTAAAATAAGAGACACTTCAGCCTAACCACAGCAATGCCGATACATACTGAAATTTGAGAACCACCCACTGGGATGTTAAAATCCATTTGGTGATGAACTCTCCACTGTACTTTCCCAAAGATTGCCAGAGTCATTGGGCAGGAACTAACTCTCTGTGCTGCCTGAGATGGATTCCCCCTTTGATTCCTTAAAAAACAAAACAAAACAAAACAAAACCAAAAAACCCTGCAAAACAAATAAACTTTAAAAATCATGAAAATTACAATGTAAATTCTTGCTGGTTAGTAAGATTTTGTTAACTAAGGAGATTGTATATGACTATGGGTGCTGTGGTTCAATCTTAGATCAAGTATTCCTTTGATTAATTGGGAAACTATAAATATTTTCATTTGCATTAGTCAGACACCACAGTTAGTGTCTGAGTTTGGACCATTGCCCCACTGACTATGTAACTAGAGATTTTAAACCTTAAAAGATCTTTTATTTAAAATGTGTACCAACAGTATATGGAATCAAGAAAATCTCTTAGCAGTGGGAAGATGGAACTGTGTTAATGGGGTTGTTATGGCTATTTGGTAAATCCAATGGTTTGGATGACTTAAATCCAAAGAGAATCTTGTGGGTTTTGTTTTCTCTCCTTTGTTACTCAATTTAATGTATTTCTTAACTAAGAAACAAATACCTTTAAGAGTACTAGATTATATAAATCCTTAGTTACCCGCTTCTGCAGAGATCTCTTCTGAAAAGATGGAGGGAACAATTTTTCCTTTGAGTCTGCCTCCCAGCATTCTGAACTTGATATATGTATTGTATCTTTTGCAGTACATCATTCTTTTGCCAAAATTCTTTGAGTTTTTCTCTGCAAAAAAACATGGAAATTTACCAGACTAAATCATAAATCCTTGCTATAATTGACTCCAACAAACTGAAATGCACAAGAAAATGAATATACAAATTTTAAAAATTTGGCGGTTTAATAATTATTTTAAGTATTGTTTAGTCCCACGGAGAAGTGGAAAATAAGTTATCAGTTGAGTTGTATATAGTGTAATAGAATGAGGCTTTGAAGTACTAACAATTCAGAAACTCTCACAATCCCTATCTAAAACAAAGATCTGTCTTCTGCAGTGTTTTCTGGAATTAGAAGCCTATGTTTACCAGCTGTAAATCACTTTTTCCTTTATTGTAGCATTTGACACTATGATACCTTCAAGTGGGTGTTGCTTATCTTGGGAGTGGTGGTGAATGTTGAATGAATATGAGAAGGAATTATAGCTATTTAACAACAGTTTGCAAAGGTTCTGGGGTTCTTGGGAGGGAGCAGGAAGTATTAATTTAAAAACAGTTTGCAAAGCAAAAAAGAAGACAGAAGAAAAAAGCATTTCATTTTTTAATCTGTTTGGATTACCTCTAAGGAGATGAGTAATGAATGAAATTTGGTGTTAGTAGACAGGAAGGGCTCTTAAGAGGCAGTCTAGACTTTAGGCCATCTTTTTTTTTTTTTTTTTTTTTTTTAAACAAAGCTCCTCCTGAATTCTTTTTAGAGAAGATTCTCTGCCATATTCTTACACACTTTGAAGGAAAGGGAATTAAGAAACTCTACCAATCAATCTAGTGTCTAATAAGCTTCTTCAAAATTGCTTTCTTTGAATATTTTTTTAACTTCTCAGAATGCAATTTGTGTTTCATAGGATTTGTAGACATTTTACATCTTGGATTTATATAGTTTACTTTTCTGACTATTTTTTAAAAGAAATTGGTCCAAGTCGTTTTAAATTCTAAAACACTTTTCAAAGTCACTACCCTTTACCTTAAAATTTCAAGTTGTGTAAGTTAGCCTGATTTCTCTAAGCTTTCAACAGAGGTGTATCTCTTGTCACTGGTACATTTTAAACTACAATTGGGAAAGATTTTCTAGTAAAGTTATGTTAGGTATTCCATATATCTTTCAGGGTAGTTTAGAAAGTTTAGATGTAGGACTCACTTAAGATGGGCCTGTCAAGGAAGGATGAATCTTCAGTATATCTCCCTAACTCCAGTGCTATATAATAGAAGGGAAACAGTTTAAAAAAAAAAAAGAAATTTGTTTATGTAATTCCTGTAAATAATGTACACGAATACATTGCAGACCCTGATGAGTAATTACAATGGTTTCCTTATTGATCCACTGAGCTTGAAAACCAGCTGCATTTCCTTTTCCTTAACAACTTCCACGCTCCAGGGGATGGCTCTCACCTGTCTTCCAAGCATTGTAGACAACAGAATTTGTCACTCGCACTTGGCCCTTTACCTCAAGCTACTTTGGAGGCCATTTTCTCCTGCTGCAGAAAATCAGATTTTCCTTGATGAGCATTTTTTTTTTTTTTTTTTTTTGTCTGGCTGTGGAATAGGTGGGACTTCTCCCAGAAATGCATATTTATTCTTAGTTACCAGGAGGTCCAGTTTCCTTGACTACCATGTCTCTACCTAAGCAGTGTAGGAGGCCTTTCATTGGACTCTTTATTTGATCTGTTTTGAAGAGTTAGTTTGAAGAGCCAGTTACCTAGTGGTCAGAAGGCTCCTGAATGCTACTTCTCTTTGTTCCTATCCCATTCCCACGGATTGCAGTTTATTCCCTTGATGAAAGTTTTACATACTTAAACACAAATAATAAATTTGTGTACCGGCTTACAACTTAAAAAAAAGCTCATCTTTGGGGGGAATGGCTCTATAAATTTTGGTGTGGACATTTGCTGAATCGTGTGCAACCCATAAAAATACAGAGTTTCTAGTAACTCAGAAAAATATTTATGTGAACCATTGTGAGGAAAGCAGG